ATCCCATGAGTGCTACAAAAACTCAGCCAGTTGTTGGGCCACCTCCTCTTTATTGCACCATGGTGCCTGAGGAGGGCGTGGTTCATGACCCTGAAAGCACTATCAATGGTGCCTCATTGGAAATCTCCTCATGTAGGCTTCAGTACTGCACACCAGGCTGGAGTTCTTTCAGTTAATGGCCTGGCTAGTGAGCGTTTAGGAAATGTAGTGGCTTATTGATTTTATACTCTGGACCAAGGATGGGACTCCAAGCATCTAAAGCTTTGGTCTCTAGATGGATTAGACAGGTATTGCCCTAACATATGAGAACTCGGGCATTCCTGCACCAGTGCAATTGAAGGCACATTCAACCAGAGCTCTGGTGGCACTGTGGGTTGAGAAGGCAGGGGCCTCCTGGGAATAAATTTGCAGTGCAGCTACCTGATCCAGCCAAAACACCTTCTTGAAGCATTAGCGAGTAGAGGTTCTGCCACAACAAGACTTGGCCCTCGGCTGGAAAGTGCTACAGGCAGTGGTCCCACCCTAAGGTAGGCCCACGATAACTTGATTATCCTCTTAGGTGTGCCACCCTGAAAGCTGAGGGGAGAAACCCAATGGTTTGGCTCTACCAGTGTTTCTGTGAACCTTCCAGGATGGCAGGCCTACTTCCTGCTCAGTTAAGGGACGAAAAGATTAGTGCAGTAGATGGTAAGTACTTGTGTGGAATTATTCTGCTTGTAGACCGGTTTTGGGAGTTACTTTATTACAATTGACAAGAGGAAGGGTGAGGGCTTTTAACAGGTGTTCATTGATTGTTTCCTGTAGTGAGGAGTCTCCTCTCAGTTGTGCTGTCCTGAAAGGTTCTCAGAAACACAGTTACAGGTAAGTCTGACCAATGTTTTGCTGCTACAGGTTAATATGGAAATCAGGAGCAAGAGAGAGCATCAAAAGTTGCGTGCCAGTTGTCATTTTTAGAGACCATTCACTACCTGACTTCTGACACCCAGCCTTGCTGGCCAATAGAACTTGGAATTGGCAATCTACTAAGTTTGGGAAGAGCTGTAGAGAAAACCACATGGTGCGTCATATTGTATTATAGGCAGTCTGTAAGACATGGAGTTTAACCACTTCAACCCCTTAGGACATACCTGTACGTCCTCAGGTTAAAGTGGCTACTGGTACCAAAATTTTCAGCCAGTGACAGGCTTTTCTGTAGAAGGGATCGAGTAGCTCTACAGCTGCCCGATCACTTCTACAGGGCGTTTAAGGCCACTCCCCTCTACTGCTGCCTTTACCGGACACTCCTGAGCGATCACATTAAGGTACAAAAAAAGCCTTTATGCTTCAGAACCACTTTAAAGCTTCGCCTATGGAGATTTTTAGGTACTGTAGTTTGTCTTCATTCCACAGTTGTGCACAGTTTTAAAGTGTGATGTGTTTAGCATGTATTTCTTCGGCGTAATACACTTTTATATACCAAAAATTGGGTATTATATTCTGTTTGTGTGCACTAAAATTCATTAACGTGTTTTTTTTTTTTTTTTTCCAAAAAAAAATTTGTGTTTGAAAAATTTGCTGCGCAAAAATCATGTAGCCATAAAAATTGCAGCACCCACCATTTTATTCTCCAGGATCTCTGCAAAAAATATATAATCTTTGGGGGTTCTAAGTAATTTTTCTAGCAAAAAAAATGCTGATGTTTACAGGTATGTGAGAAGTGTTAGAACTGGTAGTTAAAAATGTTTGCTTTGCTGTAAGGCAGTCTTTGTCAACCAGCAATTGGGTGACAAATCTCTGAAGGAACCCAAGATCTCCACAGTTTCTTGAGTAATTCCTGCCTTTCAGATAAGTTCATACTGACATTATTGATCTTCTAACTATCAGTAGCAGGAATTTTTCCTACTGTTCGCCAACATAAGGAGCATTCTTTTCAATGATTGTCACGTTACTGTACCGTGAGGTGTAGATTTAAGATTTATCAGAAAAAGGTTCCCTGAGACCTGAAAATTATTTCAAGGGTTCCTTCATGCCAAAAAAAAGTTGACAAAGGCTATTCTAAGTGTGTAGCATGCCCCCCCCCCTCTTCCCAGGACCTTCCAAATCTTATGGGCCTTCCTAGCCTAAATATTGGTGATTTGCCTAATATCTACCTCCATAAACTCCAGACCAGACCAAATTACTGATTTTCAATCTGTTAACCTATACTAGCAGGTTTTATTGCCTCTATGTCAAGGGGAGAAAAGCGTAGGGTCTACACAGTACCCACGTAAAAAGAAACAAAGTTGCAAGAGTGTAGAATTAACAGTAGCAACCCTTCTTGAAAACAATAATCCAACTCTGTTACACAAGTCCCCCTTAAATGCATGTTACTACCTACATAGTTTGCACTCTTTTTATACATTTTATAAAACAAACATATTGAAAGTGTAAACAATAATCCACACTTCCATCAGTACCAGTGGTGTATAGCTCTGAGTGCAGAGGAAGATGGTGCATTTACAGTCAATAGAACCAGGGCCGTGGATAAGGGGGTGCCACCAGTTCTCTTGTACAGGGCCCAGGCAGCTGGGTGAATCCAATGTGGGCATGGAGGGTGATTGGCATGGTGGGGGGGACAATTTCTAAAACCAATCTCCTGTATGACTCCCTCTGCAGAAGCTGAAAGCTGGCTTCTTCTCTCCCTCATGCTGGCTTTCAGCTGTTGCAGAGAGAACCATACAACCATACCCCCACCCCCCGCAGTGCTGCCAGCTTTCCTTCTCTCCTTCCCACCGGCAACTGCAAGCACACAATAGCATCCTTAAGGAGGGAGAGCGGGGGAAGGGTCTGGTAAATGTCATTTACCAGCCCCTTCCTTTCCTGAATAAGCACAATGAGTGATTGTTACTGATCACTCACTGTGTTCATTTATAGCTGAAGCACAGTAAACTGTTTTTGTTTTTTTCTTTTGCGGGGGGGGGGGGGGGGGTGGACTGTCAGGTTGGCTGTATGGGGCCCTGTGGTTTGTAACAGCAGCCCTGAATAGAACACAGAGCCGCTGGATCAGCATCCAGTACACCAGGAGATAGAGAGCGAGACCCCCCCAAAAGCAAACACGTGGAGGCATCTCATGGCCCATAGTCAAATAGTATTCCTTCCATTCAATTAACTTCAGCCCCTGTTGTGTGCCTTTAAGCCAACACCAGCAATCTTCATTTGTATGCCTTTAAACCAAAACTGGAAAAAATGGAGCGAGCAACTCCAGGAGGGGAAAAATGGTATATGCTGCGTTTTTATGCCTAAAAATTTTTATTTTAGGTAAAGACTGTAATGTGTGACAAGCTTACAGGAGACTTCATAGGAGACCGGTTCTACCATTGTCTCCTCTGCTGCTCCAGTCTTCTAAACATCCTGATAAAGTTTGGTTTTCTGAGGGTTAAAGCTGAACTCCAGCCTTACCTTCAAGCAGTGTTAAACCCAAAACAAAAATGTAATATATTGCAGCTTACCAATGATTTAGATGCGGTGGCTGCATTTGTTTTCTTTGACTATTAGATTTGAATACAATAATAAATTGAAGCCAAACTCCAGCTTACACTTTATAAGGAGTTATTTCCTTTTGGGATAATGGTTTTGCACGAATAAATAAAACCTGATTATTTTAGTCACCCCTGCCAGTGGTAAATGGACAGGCTCATACAAGTAAACTGATACATTCTGCTGGAGAGCTTGAGCTTCTGAAAACAGACTTGCTGGCTGGATTACCAGATGAAAACAGAAGAAAGCCTAAAAGAGAAAACTAATGCAGCCATCACATCTAAGCACTGGTAATCTGTAATATAATAAATGTTTACTTTTGGGTTTGATACTGCTTTCAGTTTTGTACAGGCTCTTATGTGCTGAAATTATTCTGATTTTACTGCACAATTTGAGCTTCACACAGTGGGGTAGATTTACTAAACCTGGTGCTCTCAGAATCTGGTGCAGCTGTGCATGGTAGCCAATTGGCTTCTAAATTCAGCTTGCTCAATTAAGCTTTGGCAATAAAACCTGGAAGCTGATTGGTTTCTGTGCAGAGCTGCACCAAATTTTGCACCCTCTAGTTTTAGTAAATAACCCCCAGTGTGTCTTAGTAGCTACAGCAAGACAGAGCACACCTCATTTCCTGGCTGGAAGACATCCAACATCTAGCTTTTTCCCCAGTCCTTTCTCTCCCTGGCCTTCCTCTTTAATTCATAGTAGTTCAGTTCTTTTAATCACAGTGAATCAGCATCACATGTTGGCATGGCCTAGGTTGGTCTTCATGCAGGTAGTCTGCCTAAAAGCTCCCACTCTTCCAGATTGACATCCCCCCATCAAGCCATTTTGATGTTTGCATAACTACTCCCAAGATCCAGCACACTACTTGCATCAGGGCTGAGGGCTCCTGAGAGAAGTTGCCCTGCTGGCTTCACCCACTAGACATGATCTGTCTGCATTGTATAGAGAAGTGCAGAGTGATATCATCATTGGCTCAAAATAGGGCATGTAATGAAAATGTAATGGTTTTATTTAAAAATGACCATAGCATGTTGATGTTGGGAGGGTCAGAAAAGCAGGGAAGTTTAGAAAAAAAAAATATATTCTGCAGCTTACAGGCAACCTACATTGTATTATGGTTTTCTATCCCCTTTTCAATACAGTTTTACTTGAAAGTTAACTGAATTGATAGTAGGTACCATAAAATGCCAGATTGTGCCATTGCAGCATCTTCTAAGCCTTGCTAAATCCCCATGAAATTCCTGTGCACCTTGATAGTCAGGATTTGCATGAACTTTGTCACACCCATGTATGGCAATGCTTTGTCCTGGATGATTGCTCACTCAGGCCAAGGATTGCATTGTGGAATGGTAAAGGTGTGTCTGCTAGAACAGGTAGGTGGGTGAGATGGATTCTTAATGTAAGAAGAAATGTAGTCTGGCACATGACAGTTTTACTAGCCTGTTGTTTTTCCTCCATTTTTAAAATTCTATTTCTTTTTCAGGGTTGGTGTGTTGGCTAACATGTCTTCGGCCACTGGCGGAGATCGAGGATTGGAGTCATCTTTGGAAGCTAGTATGAGCAGTACCTGCTCTTATGGATCCACACGGGCCAGGATCTTTAAGATTATTGTGATTGGTGATTCCAATGTGGGAAAGACCTGCCTGACTTACCGCTTCTGTACCAGCTACTTCCCTGAACGGACTGAGGCCACAATAGGTGTAGACTTTCGGGAGAGGAGCGTAGAGATCGATGGGGAGAAGATTAAGGTAAAGAAGCTCTGTGAATATTGATTATGTGAATTGTTTGCAGATATTTAATATTATATGATATTAATTTTGGTGATAAAATGTGTTTTTTCATACCTGGTTCAACCATTTTTAACAAAATGCTGTCTTCAACTGACTATTACTAAAGTCCAGATCTTCTCTAGAAAGTGCAGTGTCCAGCAGCTGTAAAATGAGGCCAGATCCACATCTTCATGTTGCAGAAAATCAGTGCAGTGCATGTTGTGGTGACCTGTGTTTTAACACACTACCATGCATCTGCGTGTGTTGTGGCATGGTGTGTTGGAGAAAAGAATGCTGGTTTGTTAATAAAATCTGCATTGCTTTGTTTTTACAGCCTGTCCAAAATGATTAGGTTTCCTTAAACAGCATGGGTTAAAGCACAAAGTGCTTGTAATAGCACTGCAGAAGTGTGAATCCGGTCTTAATATGAAAGATTTCTTGGGGAAAATATGACATCTTATGTTTCCATATGTGTCCTTTTTCAGAAGTGATTTCACTGATTTAATGTACACAGGAGATGGACATGCAGGAGAAGTGACCAGGAAGATCTGTAACCGGTATCCATGCTACCAGTGGGATCTGCAAGTCACATGCAAGATCACCTTCCGCTATTCATGTCACCCATTCTAATAAACACAGCTCAGTATCCACGTCACAAGAATGATCTCCATAGGATTTGCATGCCAATTTTTTCCTCTTCACTAAGTATAAGTCCTAGTATAAATGTATATTACTCATTCATCCCCAAGAGAATTCCACATCCTGGAGCAAGCTTTTATTCTTAGCCCATAGAGATTAACATGTTAAAGCATCCCTGACATTGGATCAGACAAATAAAACTACAAGCAACCTATAATACACTGCTCAAAAAAATTAAAGGAACACTTTGAAAACACATCAGATCTCAATGGGGAAAATATCATGCTGGATATCTATACTGATATGGACTGGGTAATGTGTTAGGAATGTAAGGATGTCCCATCATTTGATGGAAATGACAATGATCAACCTACAGAGGACTGAATTCAAACACACCCCGAAAATCAAAGTGATGCAGCAGACTAGTCCATTTTGCTGAAATTTCATTGCAGCAACTCAAAATAGTACTCAGTAATTTGTTTGGCCCTCATGTGCTTGTATGCATGCCTGACAATGTTGGGACATGCTCCTAATGAGACGACGGATGATGTCCTGGGGTATTTCCCCCAGATCTGGACCAGGGCATCACTGAGCTCCTGGACAGTCTGTGGTGCAACCTGGCAGCGTTGGAAGGACCAAAACATGATATCCCAGAGGTATTCTATTGGATTTAGGTCAGGTGAGCATGGGGGCCATTAAGTGGTATCAAATCCTTCATCCTCCCAGAACTGTCTGCATACTCTTGCCACTTGAGACCGCCCATTGTTATGCACCAGGAGGAACCCAGGACCCACTGCACCACATGTCTGACAATGGGTCCAAGGGTTTCATTCCGAAAACTAATGGCAGTCAGGATGCCTATTGTCTATGCCTCCCCAGACAATCGCTGACCCACCACCAAAACGATCATGCTGAACGATGTTATAGGCAGCATAACGTTCTCCACGGCTTCTCCAGACCCTTTCACGGCTGTCACATATGGTGCCGGGCAGCGAGCACAGGGCCCACTAGAGGCCGTCGGGTCCTCATGCCACCCTCATGAAGTCTGTTTCTGATTGTTTGGTCAGAGGCATTCACACCAGTGGCCTGCTGGAGGTCTGGCAGTGCTCATCCTGTTCTTCCTTGCACAAAGGTGCAGATACCAGTCCTGCTGATGGGTTGAGGACCTTCTACGGTTCTGTCCAGCTCTCCTAGAGTAACTGCCTGTCTCCTCTGTGCTCCTGAGATTGCTAGAAGACACAGCAAACCTAACAATGGCATGTATTGATGTGCCATCCTGGAGGAGTTGGACTGCATGTGCAACCTCTGTAGGATCCAGGTATCCCATTATGCTACCAGTAGTGACACTGACCCTAGCCAAATGCAGAACTAGTTAACAGTTGAAAAAAATGAATAGGGGAAAAAAAATGTCAGTGGCCTCCACCTTTTAAAATCATTCTTGTTTTGGGGGTCGTCTCATTGTTGCCCATCTAGTGCACCTGTTGTTAATTTCATTAACACCAAAGCAGCTGAACCTGATTAACAAACCCCTCTGCTACCTAACTGACCAGACCAATATCCCAGGAGTTTTATTGACTTGATGCTATTCTCTGATTAAAAAGTGTTCCTTTAATTTTCTTTTTTGAGCCGTGTATATCAGTAAGGTTGCATTCACACCTCCATGTTTCGGAACCGCATGAAAAATGTGCATCCTGCTTGCAGTGCTATTCTTTCTTAATGGCACCCCAAATGCATCTGGGAGACGTGTTTTGTCATGTGAAAAACGTGTAAGGTTCACTGCCAAAATGGTGCAGGATCTACTTTGTTGTATGTAGCCCATTTAAGTGAAGGGGCTACCCTATGCTGTTCTACAAAATGCACAAAAAAAACATTGCTTTGCCCAGATGTGAATGGGGGGTCTAATGCTTACCAGTCTGGCAGGCAGCATTTCCAATCCGGAACTGGAAATGGTGCAGGGTGTTTTAGATGCCTCACTTCCTTTGCATGAGCTGTAGTTCTGTCCACCACTAGCTAATACTGTGACAAATCCTACAAAAGGGATTTTTAAAGATAAATTCCAGGTATGGCAGTTTTTTTTACATAAGTTACTTTGGTCCAGCTTGGACTAATGTCTGTATGTATGTGCCATACCTGTGGCTTCCCTGTGCAAGCTAAAAAATCACTGATGTAGATACCACTACTATAGTGATCTCCACTAGCTTCTGTGCCCAGCAGCTATCCTGCTCCATTGTAAACACAGGATTCACTTGACATGGGTGCCATTTAGGGAACACTGTGCCTTTTTTTTCAGGGAATGCAAAGTGTTCTCTGATTGGACAAGATGGAGAGGTGGGGCGGTAATGTCACAATCTCCACCTTGTCCAATCAGCAAACACTTTGCGTTCATTGAGAAAATGGAAAGTGTTCTCTGGGTCAAGCACTGCAGTCATTTCATCTTCCGGGGTGATCCCTCAGGTATGGCACTTGCATATTTACATTTGATCCAAGTGTGACCTGTAACTGTGTAGATGCCATACCTAGAATACAACTTTAAGCAAGCTGCAGGTTTAACGTTTACTGCCTGTCAGACTGTTTTGGGGGATGCTGACAGAACAGTGGGAGTAAAAAATGCCTTGGTGTCAGTGGAAGTTAAAATGTTAAACTGCTAGTTGCCTGGATGTACCTAACTTATGTGCTCTTGAGTTACAGACCTGGAACAAGCATGTTGTTGCTGCATGCAAATGTTAGGAAAGTGGCAAAATTCCTTAACCCTGTTCCTGTACCCGGAGGGTAACTTAGCATGAGATGGCACTTAGCAAAGCAAGGTGAAGCATCAGCATGATAGCCAGGTTACCAGCCTTCTGAAAAAGAGAGTTCATTATTTTCAGCCTTTAAAATACATCGGTCATTTGTAAAAAAAAAAAAAAAATGCCCTTGTGCTTGGTGGCCATCAAAATGGTGCCCCATTATTGATGTCGGTGGAATTGTGCTCAATCATTGTGTTAGTGGGAGGAACAGTATCCCATCATGGTGTCACTGGGAATGGGAAACTCCAGGATAATAACCTTTGTATATGCTCTATGTTGCTACTATTGGCTGCATAATCCTCACTGGATTTTGCTGGCACTCAGGTAGGAAATCCCTCTACCCAACAGGGGTGGTGTGCAGTCTAAATTCCTTGCATGCGTCCTTCTCATTCCATGGTTCAGTAGGTGGCAAGCTATTAGAAACTAGCTCATAGGCCATAGTTTGAGGGCTGCTATCCTATACTTTTCAGTCATTTTTCTTTCTGAACCACTATGTGTTTAGGTAAGTGATTGGTTAGCATGCTTGTGAGGGTTCTGGCTCTTCCTTTTCCTCTTTTGTTACCATGTTTCTTCCTGCGTCCATCCTCTCCTACCCTCACATGGGCCACTGAGTATTTAGCAGCCTTTCTTGCCTACATTGTAGGGGAGATTTACTGAAGCACTTGGATTAGAATGTGGTGCAGCTGTCCATGGTAGCCAATCTGCTTCTAACTTCAGCTTGTTCAGTTAGGCTTTGACAATAAAACCTGGAAGCTGATTGGTTTCTTTGCCTAATGCATTGTGTACTTTCTTTTTTACATACAGTATCTTTTTCTATCTTGGTATTACTTGAGTGCTTCTGTATGACAAGCAGTAGAGGCTACAGGTTTTTTAGGCCCTTTTTTCAGCACTTGAGATTTCCCTTTATTAACACCTGAGTTAAGCTCAGCTTTAAAAAAAAAAAAAAAAAAAAAAAGTGTTATCCACTTTTGTCCTGTTTGAACGGTGTAAGTATAAGGACTTTTTGGTAGAATGGAAAATAGGTTAACTAACCTCTTGCTAGTTCTAGGAGTGTAGTGGTTCTTATATTTTGGCTTGACAGTTCAGCAGAAGCCCTTGCAGGGGCTTACAGAACATTGCGAATGTTAAAATCAGACCTTGCAAGTCCTAAATAATTTTGCCCTACCATTGCCAGTCACACAATCAAGATATATCTGCTAGCCTATGTGTGAAGTAGGCCATCCAGCCTGGAGTTCTGCTTTATAAAGGAACTGAACTGTGGATGCTGTGGCCAAAAAAAGCAGGCTAAGAGCAAAAAACTTCTCACCAATATTCCTGTGTGTACCATTACTAATCTACCATGCTTTATTCTGTACTCTGTGGAAGTGGCCATCTTTTTAGGGGCAGAATTTTGCTTCCTCATGTCAGAACCTTCAGCAAGAACAGTGAACAGTACAGTAGTGACATTAATAAAATCGATGTCAGACCACTGGAGAACCGGGCCGCTGCATTATGTGTGAGAGCAGAAATCGGATATTCCTATGTTCTGTCAGCACTGGGTATATTAACCTGATAACCTGCTACAGTACTTGGCAGATATAAACAAAGATAAGCTCATTTATTAATGTACATGCAGTCTGACTGCATTAAAGTAATAAAGCGGGTTCAGCTTAGACTGAGCTGAAAGAGGCAGAGCAATGATTCATCCCTCTCCCTGCCTACTCCTTTTATATTTATATTATATATATATATATATATATATATATATATATATATATATATATATATATATATATCTATCTATCTAGAGCAGGGCCCTCTGTTTCCTCTTGTACCAAATTGTATTGTAACTATAATGTCTACCTTCATTTTGTAAAGCGCTGCGCAAACTGTTGGCGCTATATAAATCCTGTATAATAATAATATAGGCCCTTTTGATTTAAAGTGAGTCTAAAACCAAGTGGCTGCTGCTCTGTTTTCAGATAATCCTTAAGGCCCAGTGTCATGGATGCACCCTGCATTAGATGTCTGTAATGTAAAGATTATATATACAGTGGGGAAAATAATTATTTGATCCTTGACTGATTTTGTAAGTTTTTTTGTAGGACACCTGTCCAGAGCAAATTTACAATGTGCAGGGGATCAAATAATAATTTTCCCCACTATAAATGACACAACCTGTTAAAAATGAATACAATTAAAATTAAGAATACAAGCATCCCAAAATCATTTTATTTTCCATACAATACACTTTCTTCAATAATCTAACAATCATGTTTATCTTCTCTAGATTCAGCTATGGGACACAGCAGGACAGGAGCGTTTTCGTAAGAGTATGGTGCAACACTATTACAGAAATGTGCACGCTGTGGTTTTTGTGTATGATATCACAAACATGGCTAGTTTCCAGAGCCTACCAGCCTGGATTGAGGAGTGTAAGCAACATTTGCTCACAAACGACGTGCCGCGCATTCTGGTTGGAAATAAATGTGACCTAAAGGACTCCATTCAAGTGCCCACTGATCTCGCTCAGAAGTTTGCCGATGCTCACAGCATGCCAATGTTTGAGACCTCTGCCAAGAATACCAATGACCATGTGGAAGCCATTTTTATGACTCTGGCACACAAGCTTAAAAGTCACAAGCCGTTAGTTTTGAGTCAGCCTCCAGAGAGCACAGTGGAGCTGAATTCTGTGCCAAAGACCTCTTTTCCCTGTGGATGTTAGATGTCTGTTTTTGTTGGACTAGAATGCAGCGGGCATTTTACACGTTGAATTCATACAAAATTCAGTTACATTGGGCACCAGGAAATATGCATGGTTTCATGGAGGCCTAAAGCATGTGCTGTTCAGGTTTTTTTTTTTTTTTTTTTTTTCCCATTGAGCCTCAAGTTGTAACTGTTGATCAAGTGTCTGTTTACCTACACAGTGACTGTATGGGAACTTTCCATCTTTTATTTTATACATTTACATTCACTCCGTCTGAAAAGACACAAACCTTTGGCAAGTGCAATTTTAAGATTTAAGGAAGATTAACGGCAATGTGCTTTATCAATATGCATTACCTTAACTCTGTCTAGCATCTCTCCTCTGTATTTTATGGTTGACATTACGTTTTCTGGCCTGTGTATTTGTGCTGATCATCTTTCTTGCCTAGCTGCTCTCTTTAATAATTGGACTGGTGCTTTGTGCACAATTGTCTGGCAGTGCCTTGCTAGAATGAGCTCTGGCACTGATACAGGTATCTATATAAGTGTTTATCTGTGTGTCTGTGACCATATTGCTGCTGCCAGAGAATGCCAAGAAGGGTATGTAGTCACTTTATATAAAGTATGTCATTGGTTTTGAAATAATGCTTTAGGAAGTCATTGTGAAGTCCATTACATTTCCTTCTGTAGTTTATCTAGGTTTAATAATACCTTCTCCCTTGCTGATGCGCGCGCACACACACACACACACACGAAGCAAATGTGTGACTTTCAGCCATTCAAGTTCAGCCGTCAAAGCATAGTACAATCAATGTAACTGTGCTGGCTTATCTTTTTTTATGCCCTTCTATTCACTCAATTAAGCTCCTCCTTATTAATTGTCTTCATCTTGTTAGAAGCAAGCACAATTTTAAATGTGATTTTAGCAGTTAGATGTTATAGCAATGTAAAATTTTGCACATTGATTTATTTTGGTGACAACTAACAGATTTGTTAATATGAAATATTTAATATTTTGTTAATAGGGAAATAAAGGGAATGATGGCTTACTTGCAAGTATCTATCAAAGTACTGAACATTTTTGCAGTCTAACCTAGAAATATAATGAGCAGAGCGATCCTTATTTTATATATATATATATATATATTTTTTTTTTTCTTATGATTTTACTTCTGTTTAAAAACATTCCATAAAGCTCAGTTGTACTTTTCTAAAAACTATGAAATAGATCAAACTACAAGAATAGATCTTACCACTCAGCTCTGGGCCAAGAATGACCATTCTGGCTGCAGGACTGCAGCCCTCTGTGTGCCCTTTTCAGCAGACCAACCCACCCTCTATACAGTCACGACTGCTTCTCTCCAGTCAGGGACATTCACACTCCCTGCTGATGGCAGTTCCCTATAATAGTCCTGTGGAAGGGATTGTTGTGCCAGGGCCAGCACTGGAGAGCAGGTATACAGAAAAAAATCCTAATGCATAACACATCAGGGTTGATTTACTAAAACTGGTGCAGCTGTGCATGGTAGCCAATCAGCTTCTAACTTCAATTAAGCTGACAATAAAACATGGATGTTGATTGGTTTCTATGCACAGCTGCACAAGATTTTGCATGCTCCAATTTTAGAAAATTTCAGCCAGTGTGTAGCACCTGCTTTGACTTTTAATGTTCCTAGACTGGCATAATTGGGCTTTACATTTTTACTTAACTGCTGATAATAAACTATGAAAATTATTATTCATGACATAATTCACATTATACCTTTTACAGGTATTTCAAATGTCTACCCAAGGGGAAATGTTAACATTGATCCAAATGAACTGCCTTACAGCTGTTAAGAACTGACAATGGAATGCTATCATCTAGAGGAAGGGTCTCCAAACTTTCTAACCAAAGGGCCAGTTTTTCTGCCCTTCAGACTTTAGGGGACCAGACTGGCCATTGGGATTAAAAAAGGTCCTGATATCAATGGGAAAAATGCCTCATCTTTCATGTCAGTGGGAGATATTGTGCCCATTGTTGGTGTTATTAGGAGAAATTGTCACCCATCATTGGTGTCATTGGGAAGAATTGTACCTCCATCATTGCTGTCATTGGGAGGAATTGTGCCCCTTCATTAGTGTCAGTGGGTGGAAATTAAGCCCATTTTTTGGTATTAGTGGATAAAATAGTGCCCCAAGGGCCTGATAAAAACAAAAGGCCACAGTTTGGAGACCACTGATCTAGAGCAGCTATTTTACTGCAGAGGAACCCTTGAAATAATTTTCTGGGATCAGTGACAGAGTGCCTCCCCCCCTACATTGTCTGTCAGAATGTCAGCATCATCAATGTCTAAAAAGATTTTTAGTGTCATGGTACTGGCTCTGCCAAGAGGCGTGGGCCAGGAACTATACAGGCACCATCAGATGAGTGGTAAGCCAGCAATAGCTCAAGAAATCCCCTAGTGTTCCACAAAACCCTGGTTAAAAATGGCTGATCTAGCGGAGTTACCTTTGTCGATAATATGCCCATATAGCTGTAGACAAAGACTGAGTAGCCTCTGATGGGCCCAGAGAATGCTTTTAATTCTGCATAAACATACAGTATAAAGGACTCTTTTGCCACCATTACAATATCTGATTTTCTAGAAAGGTAACGGCCATTAAGGAATATTATTGCCTGGTCAAAGTCTGTGTAGCTAGATTGAGGATGGACCAGTGTATCAAATGATGCAGCTTCTGTTCCAGGAGGAGTGACATCGTTGTGGCTGTGGTCATTGGCAGGACAAATTAGTACACACCAAACACTGGCTGTTTCTACTTTAAAATATAAACTTGTGCCTAATCTATTGCTGTTCTGTAGTCACTAGCAATGAGTTTGTGTGTGTATATATATATATATATATATGTGAATATAACATCAGTGTCTACAGAACCGTGGTCATAAATTCATGACATCATGGGAAGTGCCAGGAAAGATATATTGACTCATCTACTAGTAAATCATTTAAGTGTACATTATTGTGCTCTTTCTGGTTATTCAGACACTCACTCTGTACCCATTTTATTGAGCACAGCCTTTAACTGACCCATGCTAAAGCTGGATATGCCTGTGTATTTGTCAGCTGTAATATCTCAATAGGCTGTTTAGAAACCTTTGGCAGGACTCCCTGGGGATGGGTAGATCTAGAACCAAAGGAGGTTGCAGTTATTATTTGTTAGTTGCAAACAATATTTAAGTGAGCACATGCTCAGGCATATATCTCCATAATGATAGGAGTAGACTAAAGAGAATATATTACTGTTAGTTTTGATGTTTGATACTTTGTGATAGTTTGAAATGGTCTGTCACTGATGATATTGGAAAGATCAAGTACATTTGAAGTCAAGTTTTTGTCCCATAATCCTAGTCAAGTGCAAGTCAACATTTGTAAAGGTGTGTTTATCCTCCTATAGATGTGGTCTTTTGAAGAGCGAGGGCTACCTAAGTAATCTAATAACCAGTCACGGGCTACAAAGAACTGAAATGGTTTAGAATTTAGAATTTTTTACTTTGAAAAGCATAAGAACATTTTCTTCCTGCTGCATGCCAGCAGAAGGGAGAGGAGGGGAATCTGGCTTTCAGCAGGTGCAGGAGGAAATTGAGATGATTGGTTCCTGTCTGTCCAAGTGTAAAACAGAATGTGAGGGGGGGTCCCCTGGAGCATGGGATGAGGTTGCCATAGCAACGCCAACGCTACACGGGGGGGGGGGGGGGGTAAAAACATGTTGCAAGCCCTTGCTGGTCTGAGCCCCTTTATAAGGCTGCATTCACACTGATGTGCTGCAGGTTACGTGCAGCGCAGTGCACCCATGGCTTTCCTGCAGGATAATAGCTGTGTTGCCATAGCCTTCTATTATACACTATATTGCCAAAAGTATTGAGCTACCCCTCAAAATAATTGGATTCAAGTGTGTCAATCCCCTGCATAGCCACAGGTGTATAAAATCAAGTGTGTAGGCATGCAGATTGCTTCTCCAAACATTTGTGAAAGAATGGGTCGCTCTCAGAAGCTCAGTGAATTCAAGTGTGTTACCATGATAGGTTGCCACCTGTGCAATAAGTCCATCCATGAAATTTCCTTGCTACTAAATATTCCACGGTCAAGTGTTAATGGTATTATAACAAAGTGGGAGCAACTGGGAACAACAGCAACTCAGCCACGAAGTGGAAGGCCATGTAAAATGACACCGGGGGGGGGGTCAGTGCATGTTGAAGCGCACAGTATCATAAGTCTCCAACTGTCTGCAGAGTCAATAGCTAAAGACCTCCAAACTTTATGTGGCCTTCAAATTAGCACAACAGCAGTGTGTAGAGAGCTTCATGGAATGGGTTTCCATGGCCGAGCAGCTGCATCCAAGCCTTACATCACTAAGTGGAATGCAAAGTGTCGGATACAGTAGGATAAAGCACGCTGCCACTGGACTATAGAACAATGGAGATGTGTATTGAACCCTACAGACTAAGACTGGGATGCCATTAAAGTTCATGTGTGTGAGAAGGCAGACATCCCAGTACTTTTGGCAATATAGTGGATCTTGCTCGTGTGGTGCGCTTTATGAATAAACAAAACTCCTGCACTTGGGCAGGCAGAAGCTGGTGCAACAGAAGAAGCATCGGCCTAAGCGGCTCCTGACTCTGCAGCCGCCTCTATGCACTCTGATCTGGAATGGTGGGTCAGCAAGCTCAGATCATTATCAATAGGTTGCCAACCCCAGACATGTGCTTCCCTGGTTTGAGGTGAAAAGCCACATCAGAGGACTTGCGAGCCACAGCTTTAGCACCCCTGCAATATACAAATGTTGACTTTAATTTGGGTCAGATGGTTTTGGTTTTTGTTAATGTTCCTTTTATTTAGCTTTATATGTAAAACTGTTGCAAAAAAAAGGGTGGTTGTCCACCAATACAATACAAACCTAATCCCGAAGAACAGAAAACAATTGTGACTCCTGTCATCCCTGGACAGCGGAAAGTCAAAAAGTGTCAGACATCCAGACAAGGGTGACGATTTCCTGCCCGTTTAGTCCTTTAAACTTAGAACTTGGTTCTTGTTAAGAGTTAGCATATAGCACCAACAGTTTGCACAGCGCTTTACAAAATTAAGGCAGATGGTACATTTACAATACAATTCACTACAATAGGAAACAGAGGGATTTGCTCATTAGAGCTTACAATCTAAAAGAGAGTTATATCTTGTGTGAGACAAAAAGGTCAGTGAGAGAAGGTAATATGTTCGGACTCTAACCAAATTGCCCTGAAATAATTTAAATGGTACATATCACCTGTGCACAGCAAAGTGCTACAAAAGAAAAACTAGTCCCTACTGCATTGAGTGGAAATATTTTTCAAGCCATAAATTGGCTATGCATCCCCCATTCTGAGTGTTTTAAAAGTATAATTGTATCAAGCATTTTGGTCTCTTAGTTTGTTTCTAAAACCTCCGTGTGAGCAGTGGTAAGTTCTTACTGCTACATGGACTTGTGTGGGTGCTGCCATGTTTAAGAGGGACATCAGGCTGTGGGGAAAGCTGTTTATTGGGGGGCTGAGAGTCAAGTGGACTCCACAAGCCCTGCAGTGCTCCTGTCCATGACACACAACCCAATGACGGATCATGTATCATGGAGTGGACAGAAAACAGACAAAAATGTGTACACCTTTCACTCTAGTTGAGGCTGGCATTTCTACATTGTAAATGGTCTTGTAGCAGAACAAAGGTTTTATATAAAAGGGATTACTTGGTATCCAAATAAAGGGAAAATGCTATCTACAGGAGATACTTTTTAGGCTTGTTTCTGTCATCCTAGAACACTTGTCATTTTCTACATAAGGGAAACTGGATTTTCTCAGCTAACAGTCAGTCTCCAAATTCCTCACTAAGCTGTATGAACTCTTGAGGGAGGAACATTTGCTGTTACAGAAGCCTTCAAACAAATAAAATTGTTTTAGTGGCAATTAAAGGTAATCTTTTACATAAACTGGCCCATGCAGTCAAGGGGCCATAGTAGTTTTAAAAATCTTGATTAATGCAAATGAAATACCTGGAAGTCTTTACAGGCCATAAAACCTGGTTACTGCTCTAGAATGTTTACCTTCCTACATCCTGACTTATTTCCAGGACATGGCAGTCCTTGGGTGTCTTCCCCAACATTGTAGGGTGAGCACGTTTCCCGATTCAAAATACACACTTTCACAGTGTGCTGCCTCCCCTCACAGCAAAGACACTCTAGTCACACATCCCCACCAGGATTTTGACACTGCTGTAACCCCTTTCAATCTCATACTTTGGGCTACAACAAAATGACCACTAAGTCTCCTTTGAGGACAACTAAAGCGATTATCACTTTAGTGGTCCTGGAAGAACAAGGCTTGTTCACTATTTAGTTGTAGTACTTGTACTGGAAATAAGCTATGGTTTCATGGGTAACAGGAATGACCTACCAGTATGGAATTTGCAATGAATATTATTTTTACAAACAGCACATTTTATTTTATACTACTTGGGCCCCTTGTTTGCATGGACCACTTTATGGAAAAGGTGATCTTATTCTTATGCTCCGTTCACACTGCTGCAACCCCAAAGTCATGTGCCTTCCAGTGCAACTTTGCATTACGACTTTGACTAATCATAACAATACAGAGTGGTGTAGATTTACTAAAGCTGGTGCACTCAGTATCTGGTGGAGGTGTTCATAGTAGTCAATCAGCTTTTAAGTTCAGCTTGCTCAATTATGCTTTGGTAATAAAACGTGGAAGCTGAATGGTTTCTATGCAGAGCTGCACCAGGTTTTGCACCCTGCAGTTTTAGAAAAAATAAGCCCCATTGTAAAACACATCATTAAACTTACAAAACCCTCTAAAGTTGCAGCCAAAGTCACAAAGATAAGAGAAACAACTTCCTTGCGACTATTGTGATTTTAATATTGCAGGCTATGGCACTCATGTCACAAGGAAGATGCAGAAAAGTAGTGCAGGAACAATTTTTTTTGTCACTGCCTTAAGTTGCAGCAATTAAGATGGCACCCATTAAAATGAATATGTTTTGACTTGCCATACAAATTTCTGTGTCACAAGTTGCATTAGAAGTCACAGCAGTGTCTACTAGGGCATAATTATAACTAAAACCTATGTCACAGGATGAAAAGCTGGGTGTCATTTTATATGGACTATACTTGTATGCCCATGGTTAGTACTGTGTACATGTTAAAGTGGAAGTTCCACTTTTCTGCCTCCTCCCCCCTCTGCTGCCACATTTGAAACCTTTTGGGGGGAGGTAGGTACCCTTTTTGACAGGTATTCGCTCCCACTTCCGGCTCAGCTGGCCGTGGCAAACTGAAGAGCCAGTTTGCTGCGCCCCCCAGTCCACAGGGACACTTCCAAGGTCCCAGAGGACTGCGGGCCATTCACAAAGCGCAGCGTGCAGAAGGGAACTGGCTGTGAAGCCCCCTTAATCAAGATGGTGGCGCCAGCATCTGACAGGCCGATTGAAGAATTTACCCAAGGTAAAAACACCACTAGATGCATGGACAGGTAAGTGCCCTAATATTAAAAGTCAGAAGCTACAGTATTTGCAGCTGCTGACTTTTAATTTATTTTTTTTTTGGGGAGGTGGTGGGGGCCAGAACACCGCTGTAAGGATCAGTTTGAATACAAAATCACTCTAGCACTTCTCAGGTCCCAAAAAGCAGCATAGATATTGCAAATCACATTTATACTCCTGGCCCTGCTTAGCTTCGCTTATAGAATTTGCTGTTTGAATGTTAGCATGAGACAACCTTGTAGAATCCGTTCAGTATTATAGGCCAGTGTATTCAATTACAAAACCTAGCTAAATGATGCTTCATTCTAAGAATTGCTGTACCACTCCATTGGAAGTATTAATAAGGGCCATAACAACAACTTGATATATTCTGTTACTTTTGTCTTGAAGTCAGTTTATAAAATTGAATACAGTTTAGCTGAAACATTGGTTGACCGCACCGCTAAGATGAACAAATTGAGTAAACTTTAACAAATGCACTCCAAACATTTGGAACTAAACGTGAGCCTCTTACATGATGCTTAGAATATTGGTGTGTACGAAGCCAAAGCAGCCCATCAGAAAGCTTAGAATATTGGTGTGTACGAAGCCAAAGCAGCCCATCAGAAAACTTTCAGTAGTCTGGTACACTAGCCTGCTAGATATCCAATTGACTGCTACGGTTTAATGTGTGCAATTACACTTTGCACTATATCAATAAAAGGGAATTTAATTTTAATTTAAAACTGCTCTATTGTTTTTAACACACACCTGTTTAAATATGAATATATATATATATTAGTGAACTAGTTGCTTAGAGTTATACTTTATGTAAGCTCTTGGATGTTGCTGGACTACAGCAATTTCTCAACATTTTAGTCTTTTTGACTTTATATGGGAAGTGCACTTGGCAAACACAGTGTATATACTGTGCTAGGCATGATGGCAAAGTTGTCTGGGAGTTGCAGGAGACTCCCAAGGCAGTAGGTGGTGATCAACCTCTTTATTGTGCTTAAAGTTGGCCATATACTGAGATTTTTGTTCAACAAAAAAAAAAAAAAAAAAACCCACATTCCTCCTCCATGCTATACAACATGGATGGACCAATCGGCAGTGCCAACTTTTGTATGCACCTAAAAAGCAGCTATGTTTGATTGGATGCAACTGCTGTTTGGTCAACAATTTTCCACCTGGCTCCTTTGACTTGTCAAGGAGAGAGATGGCCGACAAGTTAAACTACAAAGCGAATTTTGTCTGGTTCTTTAGGAATCGGACAACATTTGTTCAGTGTAAGACCAGCTTATACTATGGAAAGAAGTCCTGAAATCTGCGCTTTATATCGCTGTACCGTGCCAATAACTCTGCGTGCATTTACTAGTTTAAGAAAAAAAAAAAACAGGAAAAGAACTAGGCTGTTATAGCTGGCGCTGTAGAAACAAAAATGCCTGATGGCGTAGAGCAAGTATCCAGTCAAGAACTTTGCTACATGCTTGTTGACAATTGGTGACTGAGAAATGACTGAAGCCTGAGGTTTCGGTTGATGGCCAAGCAGCTAGTACTTTCACAAGGATGTCCACAACGGTCGCTTACTTGTTTTCTTAGGACAGGTTTCCTTTACTAAGCTAGCAGGACAGGTTTCCTTTACTAAGCTAGCAGTTTCATCATCACTAAACAAATATTTTGTTTCTGTTTTGTTGCTTTTTATATTTCAAATCAGCAATATTTTTTTTAATTGCAATTAATACATTAACTATGCAATGTCTTATATATTATCTTTGCTAGCAGATTTATAGTTTTTTTTTTCCCCTGTTAATGTCAGGATGGCTGCAGGTTTGTTTTAGTATGAAATATGGAGTCTTTTCTCTGGCTTTCTGATAATGGCTTACACTTTTAAACCATGGCAATGCTGCTTTGTAAAATAACTTCCTTCTAAACTGTCTGATTTCTAATGTAAACTTCCTATTCATGTGATATTAGCTTTGAATCTGGTTTCCAATAAATATTGCTAATAATCACAAGACTTGTTATTTTCTTTAAA